AACGGGACATACGCGACGCGACTGCGGCCGGCAATTTGTATAAATAGCCGGCCAGCAATCAAAGCAGACAGGAGTCGTCAGGCGGCTGCTGCAGAGTTAGGATCTTTTGCACGCATAGGGTAGGCTCTACTCCCTATGCTAGGTATCAGGAGACGGGCAGGTTCTACTCCCACTCTTATAGATCTTAGCCAGGTATTCAGAGACGGGCAGGTTCTACTCCCTCTCTTGAAAGGTTGTGGGTAGGTTCTATTCCCGCTCCTTTACTATAGCCGTAATTATATTCGGTGGGACGGAGCTACGCCCACCAATCGGAGAGGAACGCGTAGGTTCTACTACCGTCCTCTTAACGTAGGACCAAGACAGACGAGTGCTTTGCTATAAACCGAAAAAGGAACCCTTATTATTTTTGTTGAGAACCCGGCAGTCGATGAGCATACCCCAGCATAACCCGGAGTTCGTTACAAATGGCGCCCGAGCAGGGACTTGATATGACAATACTAGGACAATATTTGACAGCAAGACTAGGGTAAACTAAACAGTGAAAGTTAAATGTGGTAAGACTGTGAGAAAAGACTCCAAAGAGAGAGCAGACAGTTAAAGTGCGAAAAAAGGACTCCAGAGAGAGAGAGAGAGTAGAAAGTGAAAGTGCCAGAACAGACTATAGAGAAAGACCAGAAAGTGAGTGAAGTGAGAAGACTCCAAGTGAAACAATAAGTGCAGAGCAAGCGTGTGGAAAGACCCAGGAAAGGGCAAAGCCTAGCAATATTTTCTAAGAACAGTGAAGATGGTGAAGTTATCGTGGGTATACAATCTACGTAAAGAGGAACTCCTCGAGTATACTGCGGAGTTCGAGTTAGAAGATTCCGGGACAGTTGACGAGCTGTGGAAGAGGCTATCACAGTTCCTGTCAGAGATAAAAGACGATCCACGGTACACAAGGCGTTTGACGGAACTTGCCGCAAAGCACGACCGGGCGTCCCCAATCCCTTTCGCGGACGTGCCGACACTCAGCAGAAACGAGGATATGACAGCCCAATCCAGCAGCGCTACTGTGTTGGCGCTCTGCTTCCGTGCGACGTCGGGGCTCTGCTCCTGTGTGGCGGGCGTCGCCGTGCGCGGGCTTGCGGTGGACTGAGGTGTGGAGCCACTCTAACCCTAAACGGCCAAGCCTTGTATTGCGAACAGTATACAAGTCAAGGGCCCTACGCTAGTAGCTGTGTGTTCACAGCAGCAGTTCCGCGTTGACGCGCGGTGGTGGGGCGATGCCGGCGCTACTGTTGGGCGAACGGGCGTCTCCGTCACGCGGGCTCACGGTTCACTGTGGGGCGGCGGCACTCTACCTTTGAACAGCCAAGCCTTGTATTGAGAACATTGTATATTGTATTAACCACAGCTCCGTGCTGACAGACTGGTATGTTGCCAAGTCACATCTGTTATATCTGGTGCTCTTCGTGTTGCTGAGTTGTATGGCTACATGTTGCGTTGCTATAGTGATGGTGTCAGGGAGTGTTGATACGGTCTCTTATGTTGGCTGGCCGTGTTGATGACGCTGCTGTAGTCATTGTTGTTGCTTTTTTAGTCGTTGTTGCTTGTGTAGGGGGCGGCGTTCGTGTGGCTAAATTCCGTAGATATTTAGTCCTCACACTTCCCTCCCTCTTCGGCGGGCTTAAGTTTTGCGGTGCTTCGGTATTACACGAGCGCCCCACTGGTATATGGTTACTCGGTGGTGTGCCGTTGTGAACCTCACTTGGGACCTGCAGATCCCCTCCTTGATGTCATGTAGAGCTTTCCGGACCCGCTCAGCGATTTCTGGAAAGTGGTTCAGCGCTGGTCCATCGGCTTCTTCGGCGGGAATGACCGTTTGTTCCCTTGTTGGTGTCGACGAGCTGTGTCGTGGTGACGCTGTTTCGGACGGTGCTGGTGCTCGGGGCGGTGACGATGGCAGTGGTACTACCTCTGGTGATACTGGTAGCGCGTGTAACGGCGGTCTGCCTAGCGGCTAGCTGGGTCGCCATTGCTCGCTGCTGGCTGCGCGTCTGTCCAGTAGCGTGCGTGAGTGCAGCGTACATCGCGGCGGCAAGCGCTTCCCACTCTTCTCCATTTCGCTTAACTCTTTCATGTTCATCGTTGATTGGTTTCACCCTTTTGTAAAATTCTATCGTTTATTCACGTGTGGCTGGTTCGCTAGTTGACGATCGAATGGCGGTCTCCACTGATGCGACGGTCTTGCTAACTTTATTTATTTTATTTTAAATTACCTTCCCTTTTTTTCTTTGAGAGTAACAATTTAATTTAATTTATTTTATGGTTTTCTCCCCCTTTTCCGTGTTGCTAATTTGTTGTGTTTCGGCCGTCTTGAACGCCTTCAGTTCGGCAAGGTTCGCCGTTCTTGTCCTCCTGTCGTCGGTCTTTCGTAGCTCCACGATTACCGGGGATACGTGTCGGAGGTTCTGGTAGGGGCCGGCATATTTTGGGGCTAGCAAAACCCTCCTTCTGCTTTAGATACGCTCCCTAAACGCGCGGCGAAGTCCTTCCGCTGTGGCCTGTCTCATGGGGACCAACTCCACCCACTTGCTAAATCGGGTTCTTGTGCGACCTGCGAGAGCATCTTGCAGGCTGGTTTGTGTTGTTCTTCCTTATACTTCTGGCAGGACTCACATTGACGGACGTACTGGCTGATGTCGCGAAACATTCCTGGCCAATAATACCGATTGGCAATCCGTGCTACTGTTCGGCGCATACCCATGTGTCCCGCGCTTGGTATGTCATGGTTCTCCCTTAGTACTCGTAGACGGAGTGGGTTGAGCACACACAGTTTCCAGGGACTGCCTCTTCGTCCTGGGATCGACACGGGATATGACGGTAGAGCTGCCATTCCTGTATCATGTAATCGGCGTATTTCTCCGGGTTGGTACGCACTTCATCGACCCGTCTGTGCCACCACTTGCATCGTGGTTCCGCCACTGTTGTTCGTAGTAGCGTTTCTAAGGGTGTTCGAGACAGTGAGTCCGCGACTAAGTTCAGTTTTCCTTTGCGGTACTCGATGTCGAACGCGTGTTGTTGCAACTCCAGTGCCCATCGCGTTATGCGACCTGAGGGGCTTTCGACCGAATTTAACCATTTTAGTGACATGTGGTCGGTTATGACGTTGAATCGGTATCCTTCCAGATAGGGCCTCATTTTGCGTATTCCCCAGACTATGGCTAAGCATTCCTTTTCCTTTGCCGAATAATTGATCTCTGCTTTATTAAGCTTCCGACTTGCGTATGCGATTCCAACTACAGTGTGAGTACTGCCCCTAGGCCGAAATTACTCTCGTCCATCTGCAGGGTCAATTTTTTGCTGAAGTCTGCACGCGAGGATGGGGGCCTCGGTGAGTTTTTTTTTTTTATCACTTCGAACGCTTCCTGTTGTTCAGTTCCCCACCTTCAGTGTTTGCCCTTCTTCAGGAGGGCGGTGAATGGTTGGCTTAACAAAGCGAAGTCGGGTACGAACCGGCGATACCAGGAAGCTATCCCGTGGTATTGGCGTAGCTCCTTCACGTTGGTCGGTGGTTTTAGTTCCTTGATGGCGGCGACTTTGTCGGGGTCGGTGTGTATGACCTTGTCACTAATGACGTGGCGCAAGTACCGGAGCTCCCTTTTAAAAAAGTCGCACTTCTCGGAGTTAATGCGCAGGTTAGCCCGCTGTAGTCGTTGGGGTACCTCTCGCAAGTGTTTCACGTGTTCGTAGAAGGTGGACCCTATGACGATTATGTCGTCGAGGTAAGCAAACGCGTAGGGCTCCATTTCCGGGCCAATGACTTGGTCTAACGCTTTCTGGAATGTGGCGGGGTGCGGAATGTAGGCCGAACGGCATGACGCGCCACTGGAACAGGCCACGTCCCGGTACGGTGAAGGCTATGTTCGGACGGCTTTTGGGCTCCAGAGGTATCTGGCAGTACCCGTTCTTGAGGTCTAAGCTACTGATGTACTTCGCCTGGCGAAGTTTGTCCAATATGTGCTGTATCCTCGGCAAGGGGTATACGGCCGGTACTGACCGGGCATTGAGTTGACGGTAGTCCACGTATAGGCGCCCATTTGCGTTCTTCTTCCGGGCTCGTACGATCGGTGCACTGTGCGGACTGCGAGACGGCTCGATACGTCCTTTCGTGAGTAGCTCATCGATTTCCGCATCGATGACAGATTGCATTGCAGGGTTTCGCGGTAAGTACCGCTGTTTGATGGGGCGTTCGTCAATCATGATGAACCGGTGCTCTCCCACTGTGGCTACTCCGCTCATAGTCTCGAAATTGTGCAGTTCTTCGGCTAGAAAGTCGCGTATGCGGGCTGCCTCATCTTCGTGGTTGGGGCCCTCGTGTTCTATTCTGTCGACCCTCTCCCTTGCGAACCGTCGTCTTGTACGGCGCCTCCCTTTTCTGCTCTTTGGTGGGCGATGGTTCGTCATGACGGGTGGTTCGGGGTCCTCGGTGTTTGGTGTTGGCTCGCTTGGTGTCGTAGGCATCGGTTGTATAGGTGGCTCCGTCAATACGACGCGGTGTCCGCCGCAGGACACCGTAGCTCCCATTCCCCCTAGTGTGTCAAGGCCCAAAATGATGTCGTCAATTGCTCCAGGCATGACATGCATAACGGCGCTGTGGATCGTTTGCCCAAGGCGGACTACGGTCCTCACGGCCTCGGATATTTGGTTCCTGGTGCCATAGGCCATAAGGATTCCTGTGGCCACAGTTATCTTTTTGCCTCTCCCCAAGCTAACCAATTGCTCCGCCACGCTGGCGGACACGAAACTTCTCGAGGCACCTGTGTCGATGACGGCTTCCGCGGGCGCTCCACCCAACGAGATTAGGGCGTAGAGGCGGCCGCATTCCTGGCTCAAAATTATTGGTTGTCCGGCGCTGTACTCGGGGGCTTCTCGGTGATGCTGATCCATGCGTGGTGGCGGTCGTTGCTGAAATGCCTGTCTCGGTTGGGGTGGTGACATAATGGGGTCGTCACCAACGTGTCTCGCTATTTCTCGTCGGGCGGTTTCTGGGGCCCGCCGATGGCTTTCGTAGTCTTCTGCGAGTGTGAGGAGTTCCGTCAAAGTGTTAAAATCTCGCCGTTTGATGTAGAGCAAGTACTCCGGGTGGCTATTCCGAAATATCCTTTCCAGCCGTTGTTCACTACTGTGACCCGCGTGTCGCATCAGGTTTTGAATCGTGATCACGTAGTCCTTGCATTTTCCTCGCGGGTGCTGCCTCCGTTGCCTTATATTATCCTCCAGGCGTTCAAAATACCGGGCCTGTAGGATAAAGTGCAGGAACTCACGTTTTAATGACGCCCAGTTGGTCCAATGCTCGTTGTTGTTGCGGTACCAATGGAGGGCGGTGCCGCTTAGCATTTCAGCCATCGTCTTTGGTAATAGGTCTACATTTAATGTGTAGACGTCGGTCAGCTCCTCTAATCGTTCTATAAACGCCAACGGGTCACGTCTTCCATCGTACTTCACCGACCACTTGCGTACCTGGTCGATGATGGGCGCAAAAGTAACGGTATGCACATGGTTGTCGTTGGTTAGCTCGTCAGCGTTTGGTGAGATTGATGTCGTTGGCGGGTGTTGCGGTGGCGGTTGTATACTCGGTGGTGGATATGTGAACTGGCTCTGCGTTGGAGGCCTAACGGACACATTAGCGGTCCTTTCGCATTGATTCACGGTTAACGGTGTCTTTGGTTCACTTTCGTCTCTCCAGTAGGCCTCCTGCTCGTTGTATGCTGCTTCCATCGCGAGAAATTTTGCGTGAAGTTCCGGGTCGACGAGTGCTTTGGCGGACCATGCCACTATCCGTTTCCTTATCTCTCGAGTGGTGCCTGTGTGTTCGATGCCCAGTTCCTGTGTGATGGACACTAACTGTTCCTTGGATACCCTGTCCAGCCACGCTATGCTCACTGATTCTGTCATGGCTGGTTTAATTGTCGGCTTCGAAATGTTCTCCTCGTATTGTACTATTTGCCGGGTCCCTGCTCGGGCGCCAATTGTAACGAAGCGTTTTTCTGTGAAGGCCCCGACGCTTATGTTTTCTATGCTGGGGTATACTCGCCATGCCTTGGGTCCGTTACAATAAATTTATATTGTGGGGCCTTTGCAAATAGTACTTTATTTAATTATTTCTTATCCTCTAAAAAACGTGTTACTAGAAGACAAAAACACATACAAAACTTCAAGAACAGACCCAACGAGCACTCTGCAGAGAAAAAACAATAAAATAGTTGATGAGCTCTACAAAGCCAAACACATAAACAAAAGGGAAAAGCAGCTTCTCACCAGCACCGCAGCTGCAGCGCCAAGGCTATATGGGCTGCCGAAAATTCACAAACCGCAAGTTCCTTTACGCCCCATTGCTTCGTCAGTCATGGTCCCCTGTTACAAGTTATCCAAATATGTCGGAGAAATACTCAAGCCATTGATTTCAGAGAGATACAATGTGAAGAATGCGTTTAATTTGAAAGAGAGATTAACGAATATAAGTGTATCTGATGAAGATGTTTTAGTGTCGTTCGATGTCATCTCCTTGTTTACGAATATACCGACAATGTTAGCCACAAAAATTATTATGAAAAAGTGGGACCAGATACAACGGACAACCAGCATTCCAAAACACAAATTCCATCAAATTCTTGACTTCTGCCTTAAAGATAATAACTACTTCATGTGCAATAACAAACTATACACCCAAACATTTGGAATGCCAATGGGCAACCCCCTCTCACCGACAATTGCCGACATCATTATGGACGACCTTCTGGACAACACCATCTCGGAGCTGAAACAACACTTCAACATTGACATCAAGTTTATCAACAAATATGTAGACGATATTTTTGCAATAACAAACCGCAACGACGTGAATACAATTCTAGAGACGCTAAACAAATACCACCCAAAACTTCAGTTTACCATGGAAATGGAAGAAAACGCGAGCATACCTTTCCTTGATGTCCGTATACACAAAAACAACAACAATATTGTTCTAAACTGGTACTCGAAACCAACGTCGTCTGGACGCTTGATCAATTATCTCTCCTCCCAACCAAGAAAATATAAAATCAACACCGCGAAAAATCTTATACACAAAATACTGACGATAAGCGACCAAAAATTTCACGAAGCCAACATAGAGAAAATACACAGCATTTTGAAAAGCAACAATTATCCCAATCACCTGATACGCGAACTACTAAAACAAGAAACAATGCGAATAGGAAATCAGCAAAATAAAACGCCGACCACAGCAACAGCAAATACACCAAAGAAGTACTACAGCGTCACTTACATCCCCAAGCTAAGCGGAAACTTTGATCACAGCACATTAAAGGAACAAAACATAACTCTCGCCTACAAAACAAATAACACGTTAGCTAGAATCTACACAAGAACAAAAAGCCCACTAGACATACAGCAACAAAACAACGTTGTTTATGAAATAAAATGTAAGGGCAAAGAGAACGAAAACTGTGGTAAAGTGTACATAGGGACAACAAAACGCGCATTAGGTGTTCGCATAGCCGAACATCAAACAGATATAAGGAAACAAAAACACAGCACAGCCCTATCACAGCACATATTAAACAGCGGCCACACAGCTGATTTCACTAACACTAGGATTATTGACAAGGAAAAGAGGGAAATGACGAGATACACTTTGGAAAGCTTAAGAATATTAGAAAAAAGGGAGAATACGATCAACAAAAAAGAAGATACGGACAACATCGCGGCCGCCTACATGTTATGCATATCAAAATAAACAATTCAGTAATGACAAGACTACCATAGAGAGTGGTACTGATTATGTGTATATATATTAATATTAAGTTTAAAGTAAATGTTTAATATTATTGTGAGTATATGTTCTTTGTATTAGTCCATAATTGTTGTCTTTGTTTTTACAAACACATGTATGCCAACTCGGCACTCTATCTTTGAACAGCCAAGCCTTGTATTGAGAACAGTGAAAATGTAAGAGCTCCTCACTAATAGCTGTGCGTCCACGACCACAGCTCCATGCTGACTGACTGGTATGTTGCCAAGTCACATCTCTTATAGCTGGTGCTCTTCGTTTTGCTGAGTTGTATGGCTACATGTTGCGTTGATATGGTGACGGTGTCACCAGGGAGTGTTGATACGGTCTCTTATGCTGCTGTAGTCGTCGTTGTGGTTGTTGTAGTCGTTGTTGCTGGTGTAGGGGCGGCGTCCGTGTGGGCTAAATTCCGTGGATATTTAGTCCTCACAGAAAATAAAGAGCCCCGGGGTTAAAGAATTCTTGTACCGAGAACTAAGCGTCTTCGAGCAAATGACTGGTACCTCCAAGAGAGCCACGCAGAAACGAAAGTGGAGACTATGCGTGGAATACCGTCAGTTGAACGCACGGTCGGTGCCCGACGCATACCCACTACCCAGGATCCATCACATGCTAGAGCGGCTACGCAGTGCCAAGGTCATCAGCAGCTTAGACCTTAAGAACGCCTATTGGCAAATTCCTATGGATGAGAAAATCAAAGAGTGTACGGCGTTTACCGTGCCAGGTCGCGGACTGCTTCAATGGTGCGTGATGCCGTTTGGGCTCCACTCCGCACCAGCGACGTTCCAACGTGCGTTAGACCGCGTTATCGGACCCGAACTAGAGCCACACCCATTCACCTACCTGGACGATATAATCGTGACCAGCACATCCATCGAGGAGCACATCCGACATCTCATCGAGGTATTCCGACGATTACGAGAGGCGAACTTGAAGGTCAATCCAGAAAAATGGGAATTTTTTAAGGACGAGCTTAAGTATTTAGGTCACGTAGTAAGCAAGGATGGGTTCCATACGGATCCAGACAAGGTCGAAGCTGTGAAGAACATGAAGGCCCCGGCGAGCGTGAGCTACGTTGTTTCCTAGGCGTAGCGTCCTGGTACCGGCGATTCGTACCAGGTTTTTCGCGCGTTGTCCACCCGGCCACCGTGCTACTAAAGAAAGGCAAGCGATTTCAGTGGTCGTATGAGCAACAAGCTGCTGACGAAGCCCTGAAAAGAGCACTAACAGAAGCCCCGGTACTGGCGTGCCTCGACTTTACTAAGAAGTTCATACAGCAGACAGACGCCAGCGACTATGGTTTGGGAGCGGTTCTCACCCAAGACGTCGATGGAGAAGAGCCGCCACCTTAACAAGGCGGAAAGCAACTACTCTCCGACAGAGAAAGAATGCCATGCCAGTGTGTGGGCGATTCGGAAAATGAGGCCGTACCTATAGGGGTACACGTTTACGGTGATAACGGACCACTTATCTCTAAAGTGGTTAAACGCGATCGAGATTCCGTCCGATAGAATCGCGAGGTAGGCACTCGAGCTGCAGCAACACTCGTTCGACGTACAGTATAGGAAAGGAAAGCTGAACGTAATTGCGGACGCTCTCTCACGAGAGCCCCAAGGGGGACAACTGGGAATCATTAGCCAAGAATGCCAGACAGAAGAACCGGCAAATGGCTGGAGGAGAAGATAAGGGAAGTAAGGGCTAACCCCATCAAATTTCCAGACTACACGGTGGAATACGGTAAATTATATCGGCACCTCCCTGCCTACGCGGATGGTGAAGACTACATCCCGTGGAAGTTTTGCGTAGCGAAGAACCCCCAAGGTCCACGAAACACCCAGGGCTGGCCACATGGGCGTACGAAAGACCATCGCAAGAGCCACCGCACGATATTACTGGCCCGGCATGTTCCGTGATGTGCGGAAATACGTGAAAGGGTGTCAGTCGTGCCAGATCTATAAACCTATCCAGCAGCAAGCCGCGAGGAAGATGTTGACCCAACTTGCGGACGAGCCTTGGGCCTTTTTATGCGCCGAATTCATCGGGCCGCTACCGCGATCAAAACACGGCAGCACGATAATACTCGTACTTCATGACAAATTCTCTAAATGGGTAGAGATTGTACCACTCCGGAAAGCGACGACAGAGAGCCTGAGTAAGTCGTTTCAGGAACGAATCCTCGCGCGATTCGGCGTTCCGAAAATCCTGGTGACGGATAACGGAGCGCAATTCACCAGTCGAGCATTCAATTAGTTCCTAGAGCAATATGGGGTGAAGCATTAATTCACTGCTCCGTATACCCCACAGGAAAACCCGACAGAGAGAACGAACCGTAACGTAAAACGGATCATCTCACAGTTTACAGGCGGGCAACAACGGAACTAGGACGACCTGTTACCCGAAATAATTCTAGCACTGAATACTAGCATCTGCCAATCCACCGGCTACAGTCCGGCATTCCTGACACAAGGACGCGAGCCGAGACTCCCAGGGGCAGTCTACGATGAGAGCACGCTGAAGGAAGTGTTCAGTCTGGTGCGCCAAAACCAACAGCGGGCATCGGCGGAACAAGCACGGCTTTACAACCTACGGAGGAGATAATGGAGGCCACCTATAGGCGACCTAGTGTTACTCAGAGAGCACCCACAATCGAAAGCAGTAGACAACTTTGCGGCAAAGTTGGCCCCGAAATATACCGGGCCTCACACGGTAAGAAACTTCGCTTCACCAGTTATAGTGGAGGTGGAAACACACGATAAGACGAGGACAGCCCACATAAGCGACGTCAAGGCTTTTGACGAGAGGAGAGACGAACCTCCCGGAAGCAGAAAACAACCCCCCAGCGAAAATACGAAGCACCGAAACGAAGGCACCGAGACGAAAATTAATGAAGGGAAGTTTTGGGAGGAAAGGAAACTTGAGGAAAATTTCAGAGAAGAACTGCAGGGGGAAAACGATGTATGAGGCGAAATTTACGTAGAAAAAGAGGAAAGAAAATTTATATTTAAAAAAAACGGGGGAAAAACAAGGAATATTTTGAAGGAAGGAAATTGAAGGGAAACGAGGAAAGTAAGGAGAAAACAAATGATTTGAGAAGAAGGGAACA